CGTGCACCTACAATAAGCGCGCTAATGATTAAACGCGATTTCGGTGTACTTATTTATTTTGCACGCGAAATGTTCCCAGATTGTGCCACAAGACATTACTGTTACCTGTTGCCCTTTCGCAATTTTTTAAAAATGTTTTAGGTTGTTTCTTTCTTCAATTCGTTACAACCGGGATCAGCTTATTCGAGCCGTATTTTTTTGTTAGTGAAGAACTTTTATGCGTACACTCGAGTGTTTTTGTGTGCGCATTGTCTGTTCTGTTTCCCTGGTAGTGTCTAGTTTGCAGCTAAATTTGCGATAAAACGTTTGTCTCATAATATACAAAATTCTAACAAGGCAGATTGCCATTGAGAAAGGTCTAAAAGGATCAAAATGTTCGGCGGTGTATTTAATACATTGATAACTGCAATTTAGACTCTTACCAGCTCTTTATGATCGGTTGAATCTGAGAGCCTACATTTCGATGTATACTTTAGTTTACAAATTTTGTAGTGGTCGTTAAAAATGATGCGACATTATTAGTTTTTTCTGGATAAAAATTGCGTTTAATGTTAATGTTAGTTTAATTTGAATAAACACTTGATAAAATAATAGGATAAATTGCGGTTCGCATACACAGATCCCGGAGTGTAATGTATGACTTGTTGCACGTTCGCTCTAGTTACATTTAGTTTAAATATTAGCGTATCCAAAACTTGATGAGAATAAGTGGGTCTTATCATGCGTACGTAGATTTGTTGAAACTCCTTAATTTCTTTACCTCTGTTACTTAGTAGATTAATAGTACATAATTGAATAAAAAAATTTTAATATATACGATATAAATATAAATATATATATAAATATATATATATATATATATATAAATATAAATATGTATAAACACAAATATTGATGTAATTGAAAAGAAACTCGTTAGCTTAGGCAAATAATTCTCTAGGAAGGACATTGTTCAAGTTTCACTTCAGTGGCGTTTCCCGCGTCGCCGAAACTCAATGTAAAATAACAATTATATACATATACGCCAATACATACATACATACGCGCACCCAAAACAGACACAGAATAGAGAACATTTATTGAATAATATTTCAACTTCGATGATCATTAAAATAGCTATATGTACATAAGATGTGTACATGTCTGTACATATAACGTCAGTGTCTGTATGTACAATTAAAATGAACTCTATGCAAAGTAAGTAGGCTAGGTTTTAGGTTGTTTTAGGAGGGATCTATACATATATATAAAGAAAAGTATATATACTTGGCTTCATTTTCTACCTTACTAGAGACTACGTGGCGAGGCTCTTGTAAAAACAATGGAAGATACGTACTTTGATAATGACTGGTCGCACATTTCCACAATCCACTACGGATTTTTATTTCCCGTTCAAAAATTCTTATAATGATGTTCCTATATGTAAGGTGCCTTACGCAATCAAAAAAAATTTATTTTTTATTTAGTATGATAATAATACGTATAATTCTCTACTCCCTCGTTAATATTGTATTTTTTTACTAATTTTTTTCACTAAAAAACAAAAAAAATAACTCTAAACATCGAAAATTGTATAATACTATTTTTTTTTATTTTCGAAAAAAATGTTTAATATACGTTCTGATCAAGATTACACGGTTTACATCTTCCGTTTTTCGGCTACGCTTGCCTATTTAAATTCTAGTTTCTGTTTAGTTTTTCATATATTTATATATATATAGGAACATCTCTCTCACAATCATTCAGAACAAAAGCAGTGTGCATTTTATTAAGATAAGTGTAAATGTACTAAATTTTATAAAGATTAAAACTATATTTATACCAAGTTTCATTTATATTGAAACTCTAAATTGTTATTCAAGAGAGTTGCCAATCGTAGATGCTCTAATTCTACCTTAAAATATTGTTATTGTTAACACTCTTCTTCTTATTAACTTTTACTATTGAACGAATCGCAGCGTACACTTTAACTTTTTAAACTTTTCTCAAGTGACTGAGGACGCTATAAAAAAATCTGCCAATTCTTCACAAATTCGTAAGAACGGCTTTAAAATCTTCCATTTATTTCAATCAGAAAAGCTATGGTAGTAAACGAATGTCTAATTGTCAGCAATGGAAAGCACTTTCCCTTATGACACATTGGACATTCAAAAATCTATACTTTAATCTCTATTCTATCTTTATGTGTGTGTGTCTCATTAATCTTCTTCCCGATTTACAAAAATGTAATGCAAACTAAACATCAAATATTCCGGCCACAACATCTGCATTATCGATTTATTTACAGATATGAAACTAATATATGAGGGAGTATTACCAGGGGTACTAATTTTTACATGGCATTGAAGAGCTAGTAATTTGCCATCCTTGCTAAATTTCGCGACCTATAATAATTATATACGATATTAGATAACAATAATTTTCATCGGTATATGTTAATGCAATTAATAGAAACCTAATTCGCGATTATAGCCGTATACACGTAAAGTTATTAAATTAAAATTTGTATCTACTGTAATTCTTCTCGTTTGTGATATCGTAAAATTATATTTGTAGGGGGGTATATTATTATATAAATGCGATAATTTTTTAAAAGCTCATGGAAATACTCCTTTATAGAACCATATTAAAATAAATAATCCTCTGTAACGGCTGAGTAATAGCCTCCAGTACAGGAATTAAAGTGTAGTATTAGAGATCTATATACTATAACGTAAGATTTTAGAATTTGGAATCTTAAAGTTAGTTCATTTAAGGAGTAAAATTGTTATGAATTCCGACCACTGGGAGAAAAAGAGTAGGAGAGAAAGGCTCGGTGCGTAGGTCGAATACAACAAAATTAGCAGACATATCATTTAAGACAATACACTTGTTACAGAAACTAAGTTTCTACTAATATAATTATTATTATATGTAATCTAACTCTTAATCAGATTTAGAGCTTCAAGGAACGTCGTAGGTAGTAATAAATGAAACGAAGAGATGATACTTATTGGCTGATCAAATCCAGAAGATATCGGATAATTGTAACAATAAATTATTTTTATAGCCCGATTATGCCCATATTTTTTATTTATTAAAATGAATTCAAATCTACACGCTGTTTTTAATTGCATCACACAAATTTCATGTGAACGAAAACTGAAGCTAATCTACGTTTGAATATGCGTTTTTTATTTTATTTTTATGCCAAGACAAACTGTATACTCTGGATTTAGAACAGTAGCAATACGAGATGCATACGGTACTGGAGGCTACTTACTCAGAATGTGGGAAAGGCACGAAACGAAGCAATGAAACGAAGATATGCATGAATTGTACAAACGAGTCCCTCCACGTCACAGAAAAAAAATGATATATCTATATGAAGAATATATATATAACAAAATGATAACTATGTGATGTATTTAAATGGTATGTGGTATATGGTATTACATATTTGTACATAGGCGGACCCGTGCCATCAACTAGTGAGTTGTACCGATATTGTACTGCCATAAATCAAGTAGCGATAACATCGAGTGAATGGATCTGAACTAATCATCGACAAATTTGTATATGATAAAATTTTCATTTCCGCGCTCTCGTACGTGTATGTGATTAGACGATTAACTTGAAGTTACCAATTAACACTTAACTTAATGGCTGTGCAAATGGAGCATTTTGCACTCATTGACAATTATTAAACAATTGTGTTGTTTCATAATTTACATTCTATTGTATGAACAGTTCATACCATATCGAAAATTGTCTGTTCTGTTGTTGTTATATTACTCCTGTTTAAGTTAACGTCACGTCACGTTTAGACTTGTGTTGACGTCACACAAATGTTTTAATTCGTTAAAATATTTATTTACATTTATCTTCGAAATCCTATAACAAGCTGACAAAAGACATTAATCGTGATTAATAATTTCGTGCTTGTTTTTATCATAGGCGACTCCCTTTATTATATTATTGTACTAACACTCTATCGATACTATTAATAATTAAAAAGGATACTGACATCCCGCATTCGCAGTTGCAGGTCAAATTGCAAATTTACACATATAAAATAATTGAGATTACTATTGGAGGGAAGAAAGCGCATAATGATCAGGCATATAATCGTACAAAATGTAAACCGGACATCTTTTCTCGGCAACGAATATTTAAGGACGTATCATCGTTTTTTAGAAACAAATGGTTGCAGGGTTAGTGATGTTTTGATATATTAAGTTAATTTCATTATTATCGATAATTTATTCATTATTTGAGATAATTACAGTTATATAGTAACTATATTATTACTTGTACTCTCGCGTTTAAGTAAATTTCGCGCAGTATTTCCTACAGAATGTTCAATGCACGCCATGGCTCGTACGTTGACGAGGCTCTTGATAATCATTAAATGATTTCGTACTGGTGACGTTTTAATAAGTTGTGGAAATATATATTGGTACAACTCGATGAAGAAAGTGTAGCGTGGTTATACACCTGAGGAATGTGCTCAAAATATTGTATTAAAGAGAAAAAAAGTCTACTAAATGATCATCAACGTTTATGCAAAATTACTCTTAATAAGTGAAGAAAGCGTTATTACGGATTATTGATATCGTAATCTATCGTCCTCTTACCTATTACCTACTTTAATGTCTATCTCTATACGCCAGCATGGTTCTTTATACTCTTCTATTTGATGTTATACTATTCTCTATTAACTTTTACTACGAAACGTATTGTTAATAGTGTTTTTAATGTACTAGAACATGGTCAGCTGTAGGGGAGCCACGCACACGTCACATCGAGATTTATACGAGAACAAACATCATGATTAAAAAAAAAAAAAAAATGGCATGCGTAGCGCGAGTTCTGACAATTACAACTGCGTAAACATGCGACTTTGTATTTCCATGTATTAAACATTTAATATCTTTCATATATTTTCCGTATCTCATGTTAATATACGTACGTAAACGTTAATCTTTCACGTACTCCCTAAAATATGTGTCTTAGACTTATTTCCATTGTTAGATTCAAAAGTATAATTTACTATTTAGATTGTGTCATAGCTTAGTTCGTATGGGAATTAAAGTACAGAATGAGTAGACGTCATTCAAAGTGAAAAAAAAAATGTACACATTACGCTCCCTTCGCTCGTATAAATTATTGCAATAATTCTGATAGAATGAAAGAGAAGCACGTGCTCTCAGTAGCAATATAATCAAGCGACGCGTTTGTACTATCGTTGTTTTCTCATCTTCCTCTGCTCAACTAGATATTATCTATAAATATACCTATACATTTAGAGGATTCACGTTATCTTAGCTACTTGATGAACTTAATCACTTAATCAGATTCTTGTCTTTGCTCAAAAGAGACGCGGCCTCGGACGAAGCCAAACACAATTATCTCTCGTATCCGGACTGTGTAATAAAATCGCTCAAAAGTCGGTGCCATAAGCAATATGGACAATATATTATTAAATGTGTTATAAGTACGCGTGGGCTAACTACAGCTGGCCGGCTAAGTTCTGCTTTGAAAAGCTCGATAAAGAAACGCTCTGCGGTTGTCTTCCACGAGTGATCGCGAGAATTCTCGAGATCTTTTTTTTATTTAATTGACTATGATTTTTCTGATGTAAAATTACGTTAATTTTATTTAAATACTTTAGTCTAGCGTATGTCTGTCTTTAATTTGGACTGATTTCAATTGTACTGCGATTCACAAAATTTCATCTTATCATCTTATCTAACTCTCATTCTCTGAGAGGACTTTTTTCGCAAATAATCTCGCAATTGGCTCTTGGCAGGAAGCTGCAATGCGTTGTTTACATATTTAAGCACAGTTCAGTCAATTTCAAGTGCGATGTGGTATCGAGTTGCCGACGAAAGCCTAATTTAATCTGGAGCCTATCAAAGTGATATCACCGAACGAAAACAGATCCGTCGACGAAGAGGAGAAGAAACCCCAAAGGAGGCCTCCAGAACCCCACTGAAGAGAAGCAACTCCGCCACATTAGTCTTCGACGACGAAGGAACAGCACAAAACGACGCGATAAATTATCTGCGAATGCGAGGACTCCGAGAATTCTCTGTTGCGTAAATCCACGCCGGCGGATACGAAATTTTTGGTGAAATCGCGTGGAGAGCTTATATAGGAGTGTCCACTAATTCGGCAATCTGTACAATCTACGACTAGTCAATCTATCAATCTGATCTTCATCGATTTAGTGACTCATAATTCTCTTACACGCCGTCAAGCTTCAATAAACATTGATTTTTTCGAAGTAAATGCTACTTCGACGAGCGAAACCATTTCGATGGAACGCGAAGGTTCATCGATCTGCAATTAGAGCAAAAGTTTCACGTAGCGCTCATTTGTCGAAAATAATTGCGGAACGTAGAATTTTCGATTCCTCTTTGTGCAGGTAAAAAAACCGCGTTCACCGAATTCATAGTCTGGCGAAACGTAGCGTCGAGGCGAGTTGCGAGAACAGCGAATAAACGAACTCGAGTTATCGGGATTAAGTCCGATCGTAGGAGCTAATTGCAAACCGAACGGCTTAGCCAGATCAACGAGCGTCTGCGCATCAGTATTACGTTGGAGCGATACTTATATACATTAAACTAGCGATTACATTGCGCATTACATATATATACATACCATTTTATTTAATATATACATATATATATTGAATATATGGAGAGGCGATATTATACACATACACGGATATTTGACTCAGATGGTAGCGTACGTGCATATATGTATCGCTGCGTACGTATGTATACGTACGCTCATATATATTTATATATATATACAAAACTGAGTATATGGTGTACAGAGAGTCAGAGGGGCCCGTGCGGTCCGTACTTGCTACGTTAAATGTCGATGTTGTTCGTTAAAAAAGAAAAAAAAAATGAAAACGAGAAATCCCACGCTTCTTTTGAATCGTGAGTGGCGGGACTTCGGTACACAGATCAACGACGCACAGTCACAATCACACATATAAAAAGAAATAAAAAGAAGGGAAACCGGCGATGGGTTTAAAGGCTCGCGATTCAGTTTTCGAGAGAGAGAGAGAGAGAGAGGGGGAGAGAAAGGAAAAGAAACGAAATAAAACAAAAATGATCGTGAAACACGCGAAACCTCGAGAAGCATCACCGATTTGCGCCACAGTCGTTGTCGACGCACAGCGTAATCAAAGAGGAAAAACGGGAGAACACAGAGAATCAAAAAGAATGCTAAAACTTTCTGCGTAGATCAACGGTACATGTTAACGTGGAAGACGTATATGTAAACTTTCGGCCGATCGGATCGTTACAGGTCGGCCTGTCCAGCAGTTTGCATTAGAAGAGCAAAAAAAGAGAGCGTATAAAAACAAAAAGGGAATACCGAAAATCCTGCCTCACGACAACACGAGAGCATTAAGTGTACTATTAAAAACTACTACAATGATAGAAGAGCCAAAAACGAGCGAACGCGCGCGCGCGCGTACGTGTTTGCCTGTGTGTGAAGCGAGAACGAAAGAGAGACAGGGCGAGAGGAGTTTTAATACCGAGATGTAATTGAATAATCTAACCGTCGTTTATAAATGAATATATATATTAAGACAAATACTGAATATATATAAAGTAAATATATATTATATATATTATTACTGCATTGCATAGATAGTATATATATTATATGTACGACGACATACATATATATATGACTATTTTCTTCTATGAATATTGCGTATGTGAGATGAGTGCTATTTTCATCGTACGTCGGAAGGCGCACCGCGATTCGCGACAAAGCGCGAGATGTCATGATAATTATTCATACAGAAATCCTACACGAGGCTAGCTGAAAGTCTTTCTAGCTCTCTTCTTGTAAGAATAAATTTTTTTTTTTAACACAATAGAAAAGTGGAATATTTTGAGATAATTTTGATCAATATTTTAATAGAGAATTAGAGAAGACTTGTAGAAGTTTCTTATAGATTTTCACTATGCAGCATTCTGTACTTTAATCAACTACAATACACTTCGACACATGCTCTCTCAAAAGATTTCATTGTTGCTTTACGTGTTATCTTTCTAAAATTTGGATCGATAGCGAATTCTATATCAAAATATCGCGGCTATCGCTCTTCCATTGATAATTCAATCTCGCGTCGTCCGTCGCGGCGCGTCTTGCGCCAGCTATCTCAACACCGAGCTATACCAAAAAGCAAATTAATAACAAAAAAAAAGACATGTATGATGTGTAAGCCAAGTGCCTTGTGTTCTGGTAACTAATCGTTGACTTTTAACTACGATATTAGGGGAAACGAGAACGAGAGTGAGAAAGAGAGATGAAAAGGCGAAGAATGAAGAACTTGTCAATATCAGCTTACGTAGCTGTAAGCGTATTTTTCGGTGGAAAAGGGATTACCTTTTTTTTTTTAACTAATCAATGAAAACGAAAAAGAAAATCAAACGGTAGACATTCATCTATTTCAACAAATACACTGCGTTGCAAATTCAGCGAATCAGATGAACGGAATCACACGAATCACACTTCACGACTTTTAATATAAATATTATATTTTATAAAATGTGTAAATTAAATAATTGCATTGCAATCAACTTATTCATAACATAAAATTCATCACATATCTTAATTTTTCAAAAAACAGACATAGCTTAAGTTGTATCACAAATTTGTTATCCTGCATTTATGAGTATCTATGGTTCTAGTTCATTCTTGTTGACTATCATCGAATATAAGCAACTGATATGCTAATATTGTGCCAAAGCAAACTAGCGATAGCCAACGCGCGTACCTGGTTCCGCAATTCTAACTTTAAAAATCACATGTTCGATTTTACTAACTTTTCTGCGCTTTCTCCCACTGCCTATATACAATTCTCCTACTTTTAGATTAATTATTTCGATGTTTTTGCAACGCATTGACGATGTTAAAACCATTGAAATTAAATTTCCACCTCCACTTGCATAAAACCCGGCAATATGTAATTCCAAAAAATCCGATTTTTCTCCCATCTTATTTTAGTTACAAAATTACAAAGGAAAACATTTAAATTCATACAATCTAGGAGGGGCACCTGGAGTCTCATTCAGCTTTCATTATTTCAGTGATATTAATTATGCAATATTTAATAATAATATTAATCAGAGAAGATATTTATGGCATTAACAATTCGCTTGATAAATAATAGAGCAAGAGAACATTACTTCTTATTCTGAAAATTATAATTTTTTCTCACAAAGAAATCAATTAGATCTCTAAGCACTAAGAGTGTATTAAAGAAATGATCGTGTATAAATTTTCCCATCAAAGATTCATCCGTAAAAAAAATAACAGAAGCTGAGTGAGAATATCTAGCAATGTGTCGCCGGGATGTAATGCGAATTCGACGCAGCGGGACGAGTAAGGACTACCCATTATCCTAACAACGGTTGTTAGTAGAAATACTTCTGCGTAGCGCAGCCGGGGCCCCCGTACGGGGTCTTTTTCATTCGAAGTGGGCACTGTTTGGTGTTGTGATAAGAGGCAAAACTTTGATAGAGCAACAAAAAAGAAATAGTCGCGAGTGTTGCGTGCGTATGTGGGATGGAAATACTGACGATGAGCGAGAATGAGCGAGTGCGCGTTTCTTTCCAGCGATCCTACACTTAATGTATATCTCTCAACTGTAAAACGCTAGCTATGTCTACAAGGAATTGATGTAAATAGTAGGTTTCGGTAGATAGCAAAAGTGTCGTGGCCGAGGGAGCTCTGCATCCATGACGCACGAGGGAATCCGCCTCGCGATTATTCATTAACGAACGATAATTCGCAAGCGGTAATGTGCAGCCATCGTTTTGATAATCGCAAAACGAAATCGTTCATGTGAAACGATATACGTCTCGAATTAGAAAAAAAAAATTTACAAGATAAAAATGCAAGCTGAAGTATTTTTACAATGAATTGGGTTCCTATCAGGCACAGTGACGAGACAGTTGCGTTTAGAAATTCGTGCCAAAAATGAAGAAAGTTCGATACAAATATCGTTTTCAATGAACAATTATTTCTGAAGCGAGCAATCCGACGGGATTCTCGACGGAGTCGAAAAAATATCGCGCGGCATTCCACTTCATGGATGCACTGACGTGGATGAAAAAGACCCTAAGCAGACAATCCTCCGTTAGTTAGTCCTTTAAATGCGAATGTTGTGCCACTGACTGCGGGTGTGAATGCTTACGGAAAGTATTAATTTATAAGATGCAGACGTAGACGGCCCTGATCGTATTAGATTCCGTCATAATGATGTTTTTTCGTCTAGGTAGAGTATAATGTGAAACCTTTGTCGCGCGGGCGACGGTGGACACGAGCGTGGATACACTCGGTGCATTATGCTAAACGTATCGGTTCGCGAGGCCAAAACCGATGCAATTTTTCAATCTACAACTTGAAGCGTAATCACATTTTCAATTGCGGTGTGCGATTACTCTTCCGTCGCGCGAGAGATATACACACGTGGAATTAATTTCGTTAACATCTAATAATCCATTTCAATTGGCATGAATCCGCGCTGGTATCCACGTCAGCTCGTTTGTGTTGCTCTTGTCTTGTTAACGATTACTATATCCTACTACCTACTTCCTAAATGATCTCCTGTGCAATCGGTGCTGCAAAGATTCAGTTGTATGAGCGTTGATTGACATTCACGAAGAGACGCTTTATGTATATACACACACATATATATACATATAAATGTAACTTGCGCGATTATGTCGAGAAACACTGTTACAAGTCAGTTTTCGACAAGTCATTTCGAGGCAAGGCAGCGATTTACAGCAGTGTGAGAGCAATCTGTCGCGGAGACCTAACATAAGTGGCGCTAGTACTTCCGGTATAACTTATCGCTAATTATCGCAGCGAGTCTAATTTTATTGTATGTTAAATGTAACATCCCATAATTGTTGTTATCGTTATTATTGCGGTGGCTTCCGGACTTATCGCGACGAGTCTCAAACGTGCACCACTGCGAGCGAAGGTGCGACGATGATTTTTACCGTCGCCTCCGAATTCGCGCACACTTATATTTGCTCCCCTCGTATTTCGCAAAGATCCGGCGACAAGTAACGACGCGCTTGAGAAACCGAAGCGAAAACGACGATCAAGGGATGCGCTTTCTCTCACGAGAACTTAACGTCAGTATCCATCAACTACCGAACGATCAGACTTTTGTCAAACGGTGCATTATTGGTAACGCAAACTCCGTATCGAGCCACACATCACGAGCAAGTCGATGTCTCTCCGACCATCATGCTACACTTTCGCGTTAAGATATATTACGATTGAATCAGTAAATCGTGAAGAAGATCTACCTCCCTCGATCGTACCGATAAGATCGTTCTCGCACGAGAGCGAGGAAGACGCTCAACAATAATCACTGTGCCAAATTGTAATCAAATCACTCAATCAAAAATCTCGAGGCAGTGCGAGAATCGGGTCAAAGCCGCAGATGCTTAAAACAAAGGGATAGACAAACTGCGAGAATCAAAACTTACGCTGTTCATTAAAAAAGAACTGAGCGATTCGAGTGAAGAAGAAAGAGTTAATCTCAGTCTCCGTGAAAAACGAGAATGAAACGTCATCGCGTATGTTTGCTCGAACTTTTCCAACTTGAAAGTTTTCTTCGCGCTTTTGAGCCTTTTTTCCCCGCAGCAATATTACGCAATGATATATTTCAGAATCGAATAAACGGCGAGAGGAGGAAGGATGGCTCGTTCTTACTCGCTTCGCTTGTTTTTAACACCGGTTGCGTCAGAAACGCGTTCGTTTATCCGGCCCATCGAGCCGAGAGCCTTTCGCGGATTTTCCCCGCTCCTCAGCCACCGACCCTTTTTAAGATTTAAAATACTTCTTAAGCGAGAAGGAGAGTGGCGCCTCGTGGCCCGCAGCGGCGAACGTGTAGTATGCAATAATAACATGTATAAAGAGCATGGATTTTATATGTGTCGTACTCGTACATGACAAAAAAACTCACCCTCACCTCCCTCCCGATCCTTCTCACTTCCAGCATCGGTTAATCAAACGACTGCATTGCGAGCTGGTACTCGTCGTGGCACAGGGCTACTCTCGAGAGTCGCTCTCGTGATCTGTTGAAATTATTCTTGACAATCAATGCGAGAAACGTTCGAGGAGTTTCCTTTACAACGCGAATTTATTACGATTTTTCACAATTCTTTCCCAACGCAATTCTGTAAAAAATGCACTCGCTCTAATTATCTACAAATATATCTGCGTGTAAAGCGTTCTTCGCTAACATGATTAACGTTACTCTATTCTCGTTAATGAAACAAAATTACAATTATTGCATTCGATAACAGATTCTCGAAGTGGCTCCTCGAGGAGGAAACGCAAGGGCGAACTCTTTCCATCCGCGCATTTTCACGCGGTGTTAAGCGCTGTTAAGGATAATCAACGTGTGGATCTGTAATTGCACAGAAACGCAAGATTGACAATTGAAGCACCAAGTGAAAAAAGTAAACAAACTAAAACCCGCTTACGCGTGTCCGCGACGGCGGTGTCTCGCGAGGATTTTTCGTGTACCTTTAAGTAACTTATGAAATAGAAGCAGTATTAAGAAAGCGAAAACCAGAGGTTCCGCGTTTAACGCGAACCCGACAGCTGCCCGACTCCGACACTCTGATTTCTGTAATACGAAAACCACGACCATCTGACGGGTATTGAACGCGCGTATTTTAACGTTAAACGCGAACGTAACAAGCCATTAATCGTGACTGAGGCGTGTTGTTCGGCGCGATTGGGGTATTGAAGAGCGGCCAACGTCGCTGAAACATTAGTGATTTCGAAGGGGCGGCGGGGTGGTTTTACCGAAAAGGGATTAAGGGGTGGTTTCTGGAATTAGAGGGAGGAAATGTTGATCTGCGGTTAAAAAGCTAATTTTTAAAGCCAGTCATGAGGTGCTGTGCTCGAAGTTTGCGAACAAGGCCTGAATCCGAAGAGACTTATCCTTCGAATCGCATTCCCTCGCTGGGCTGGACGAGTATTTTCCTGAAGCAACTCCCCCTTGACTCTCTGGTTGTCACTCTTAAGCATCCCTCTTCCGCTGCGTAATTTGTACATAATTATCGATGTATATATTTATGATTGTCAAAGGTGTTTCGCCCATATTTTTATGTATGTCAAGAATGGGTCTCGCAAGTCTGTACAGATTCGGTCGGTGTGTCGCTGTCGTGCTCGGTGTCGTTTACTTTTATATCCTCGATTTCGCTTGACTTGGGTGCATGTGTATATATATATACATATACATATATACATATGTAAAGTTGTAAAGATATCCCCTCGCCATTATTCTATCCCATAAATAACATTATGAGCGTACGTCCAGCCCTGTAGCCGAGAGGAAAGCTCTTCCTTGAATATCGTTTAACCGTTGTACAATCCCTCCCGACGCATCTCTTTCCGTGCGTGTCGCTTCTTGAAGAAGAGAAAGAACGACACGGATGGGAAGATTGCTAAAAAGGAGCTAGAGAAAATCACGTTGTACGAGTGCATGTGAGAACGAGAGAGAGAGAGAGAGAGAGAGAGAGAGAGAGAGAAGAGAGAGTAGAGAGAGAGAGAAAGAGAGAGTAATGGAAGCGAGATGAAGGAAATGAGAAGGGAGGCGAGATACGAACGTCTGACATATCAAAGCGACACGATTCTTCTTGATAACCACATAGCAATATCTTTCCGCTCAATATAGTGAAGAAAAATTAAAAACGAAAAAAAAAATAAACATAAAAAAGAAGAAGAAAATCACGCAACAATCTTTTGGAGCGTTTTAATCGTAGGGGACTTTAGAAACTTCGTACCCCTCGTTAGGAGCTGTTAGACAAATTTAGATACGCTTAGCTTGTTGCCCGCGGCTGGAATAAGAACCGGGATGTGAGCGAGTCTTCTCGTGAATTTCGTTATCGATCGCACGATTCTTTGGAAACCCTTGCGATTGCGGATAAGGTTCTCGCTACGTTCGCGCTATCGGAATAATCATTGATGTCCTGCAAAAATCGTCGACAATCCGCGGTTTCGATACAACACTAAATGCACAATACTTGAAGAATCTTTTCGTCCCATTTGGAAATAATATCATCTTCTGAGAGTACAACCGTCACTAAAGAGCGATTTCTTTCAGGGTTGCATTTTGTTGATCATAAAAATGATAATCAAAACGAGAATCAAACAAAAGACACTTATATATTTCTTATTAATTTTACGAAATATTTTACACATTTATTGAATGCAATGTGTAAAATGATGCAAAACTTGTTAATGTGTCTTCTACAATACGAAAATATATCTAGAATTGGAAAAAGATATAAATTTTTTTTATAGAAAAACCATTTTAAATGCCATTGATAATATTTTATAATTTGCGTGCGTATTAATAATTATCTGTAAAGTACAGAAAATACAAAGGTAACCCTGGACTTAATCGTTAACAACGTTAACAAATAAGGAGGAAACTACAAAGGTGTCAAGAAAAGTGGCTGCGTATATTTTAACATTCCCGAGCATTCTTTGTTTTATACATGTGGCCACATTTGTGACACTTCCTTCGAAATGACATCAAAAACATGAGAAAAGAAAGAGAGAGAGAGAGAGAGAGAGAGAGAGAGGGAAAAAATCCTCCATTATCTTTTATTATAACGCAACAATCAAAATGTACGAACTGTGAAAATAAATTTGCTGAATCAAAACGAAAACGCTTTCAGCATTCGAGATAGAACGAAAATAATTCATGGCAGATGAATTAAGATCGGAGAGCACAAACGATATATGTCAAGTAAAAACTCATTAACTCCGCTTTTATTTATTTCGATTTACTGTATTAGCATATTGTGTGTGTTTAACTCTCCATTTTGCCAGATAGTAATTATTCTTGTGTGCCTAATAATTATATTTTGTCTTGACAAGGTGTTTAATTTAATTCATCCGCTGTCGCTATATGAAAATCTTTTCATACGCTTGAAATACTGATCTGAAAAGAATTCACGAAAACAATCCTTCTCTTTAGATATCTGTAATCTTTATATAGACACGCGTATACACGCGGATAGATATACATAAGTTTTCATGTGTCACATGTTAAGAAGGCATCGCGAATACAGGCGTGGAAAACGCGGATGATGCGTCGTACATGCGTATCATCGGGTTCAGATATAAATCAAATGGAAAATGTTAAAAGGAATCGCCACAAGTGGCACGGCGAAACGCCTACCGGGACACAGGACGACGAGACATGTTCGCTAGATGCAAGGATACGTACTACAGTACAAGATAGACAAAATGTTTGTAAGATATCAAACTAGGTTCCGATGAATTTCCCCTTAAACTAGCAGTATGGCAAAGAGACAGTGTAAATGTATGAGAGATCTATCGCGCCCCTTTCCGTACCCACCCACTCGAGTCTCCGTGCTATCCTTTTTCTCCCTCTATACGACGAGTGTAAAAAATATCATGTAATTAACACACTGATAAATATATATATAGATATATACATATATATATATATATATATTTATTATATACACACACGCGTACGCGCACATGAGCGCGTATACGCGACGAGCGTGGCGTACATGCTCGCCGTATACGCGCGTTATGGCAAGATGATTGATTGTGAGTCATTTAAATAATTGTTATATGTATTTTCTATATATTACGATAAACTAATACAATGATATATATATATTGAGATGACATTACGGTACTATTAACTATTAAGTGTAGTTAATTTAGGGACTAAAAGCGGGGATATTATCCGCGCGCGCACCGTCACGCGCAAAGCCGACGTCTCGGCGAAAAGTTGGATCGCTCTAGAGTCCAACACTTTCTACAACACACTCTCCGCACATATTAAGACAGAAAGAAGGCAAAAGAATTGCGTGCGAGGCACGAAACAAGCGAGACACTCGAGACGGCACCCTCGCATCTTCTCCGACGAGATTCCTTTTTCTCGAAATATAAACGATGGAAAAATATGAGGCAAAGTAGAAAAAAAATGAAAAGAAAAATGAAAAAATGAAACGCGACGCAGTTACACGGCGTCGTCTCGGGTGTTCGCGTAGAAGGTTAACACTCGAAAGAAGAGAAAAGATACACACACACTGAGTGAAGAAACCATAATGCGGAATTTGCAACAAAAAAAAGATGTATTTTCTCACTCCCACTGCGCGAGGTGTATGTTCATCGCTACATCTTATTTGGAACGAAAACCTAAATATTATATTATTATATAAAATTATTGTATAATTGTAACGAAAATTGTTTTTCAAACGATATGGTATTTTTATTGTAGATATTATATAACAAATAAAATCATGATTCATTGTACTCAAGTGTCCTTATTTCACAGTGCTCATTAGTTTGCTATCGGCAACTTTTACTTTCTCTCTTTAATATCTCATATTATATTATCTATTATTTCGACCTATGTAAAATTTTGTAAAATTAACAATTTTTACTAGTTCTTTTTTCTTTAGTCAGTGTGTAATCATGATCTTATAGAATTTTTGACAGTACGTGTTAAATTTTAATTAAAATAATTAAAATTATACCAAATTCTGAATTATTATATGCAATAATTATGTTATATATTAATTCACATATAAAATAACTTGTAATTTTCGATCTCTTGATGCAAATTTATTGATAAAGTTTTATTATCAACAATGTTTTTAGCGGTTATAATTAAATTAATTATATTATACTAGATATGATACTCATAACATTCAGTCATTATTTTTTTCTGATTTGACTGATAGGCCAATCATTTTATTGTTAAATTAAACTTCGTGAAAAAGGCGAATTGTTTGAACATAGTTTTTGTGCTTTTCGATATTACGCAAGCGGTTTTTTATCTTCTGTTCAACATCAAACCTTAATTGTGTGGTATTTTCTGCCACAAATTTTTCAATCTAAAACAGATCATTTTAATTTATCGTTAATAAATCGTTTATTCTCGCATTATAAAAGTTTATTTGACGTGACATAATTTCTCATATTTAACATAATTGAAAGATAAAATATTACATATATATATATGTGACATATACAGAGACAAATAATCTATAAATAAGAATCTAATAAATAAAGATAATGTGTATGAATAAAATAAAACTTACCTTATTAAAACTTTCCTGAGAATACACATTATTGATAATGTGAATCAATAGCGCAACCTTATTAATTTCGCTACAAAAACAAAGCAGAGAAGAGATTTATAATTAATACATATAATAAAGTTTTATGATAATGTAAATAATATACATAGAAAACTGTAAGTACCTGGGTTTCACTACTTCAAAATTGTAAAATAGTAAATCAAGTATTTCATGCCTTTTAGCATGGCTCGCAAAAATAGAAAAAAACATTTTAATATGAGTTTGTCGATCGAGTTGTATATCTCCCCCATTCTGTCTTATTCGTACCAAGAATAGTATAACAAGAGCAGAATTATCAGAACAAACTAAAGATTCCAATGCTTCCCTTATAGAGTGTATTTTGTAGTCTTGTAATAGTGTTACCAACAGATTATTTGATGTGTCTATCTTCAATTTTGCACAATAGTGCATCCAAGGATCACCATAGATATAATTGTTCAGAAAGCTAGAATATTCAGAAAGAAATAGAAGAGTTTGCCATAAAAATTAAAATTAAAGTTTTTCATAAATAATTTATGAAACATTATGCAAGATTCAAAGAAAAATAATAACTACAAAAATCATGATTATAAAAAAAATTACTTATGTTCTTGAAGATTTTGGATATGTTCTTCGCACATCAGATTATTCAAAATGCATGTCCATTTTAGAGCTTCTCTCCATAAACATTGAGTTAGATCGTCTTTCTTCGGATCTTTTTTGTTTGTTATATTCAAAAGAAGTGAGTCTAATATTAATACAAGTCTATCCTAAAAATTGTTAAATAATACAACTGTTTTATTAGCTTATTATTATTTATAAGAGACATGTGCAAATAAGCATATTAATTAAAATTATTTATTTCAAATAAATATAAATTCTGTATTTATTATCAGTAACGTTATACCAAAATTAAAAAATAGACATAAACGGCATTATTGCATTAGAACCATTAACGTCGATGTTTTATACGCAACGATTTAAGTTGTAACATTTTTTATTGACGAAATCTGTTTACCTTAATAGCATCAATTTCTAAATCTGAATATGGAAAAATTTTCGACATATATTCCATAGCTTTGAACATAGGATACCATGCTATGTAACTTGTTTCTTGGTGTAGATAATGCGTTAAATTCCAAAATATCGAAGAATTGAGTTGTTGTGTTATCATAAAATGAAATGCATCATCGATCAGTTTAGCCCGATTTAGAATATGAATGTCCGTATAAACATGTGAGTGCAAATAATTTATGATATCTCGCCAAATATCATAATCATAATTAACCCGATAATATCCTGTCGTACAATAAATAAATTATATTAATCATTAGATTTTATTCTTTTTTAAAGTTTACAAAAGAGGTGTATCAAAAATAACTTGTAATGCAAAGAGAATTATAAATTGCAAATTAAAACTAACTGCAACAATAAGACCATATTACGTAAGAAACTTAATATTAAATTATTAAATTAAATAATTCTAAAGAGAATAACGAGCTACTAAAATATTTTTATATATAAACTTATGTTAATTTTGATTGCACAAATAATAAATTAAATTATATGCAAATATTTGCCTCAACTTTGATGGTAATAATACAGAATTCTTAATAACATGTTTTACAAAATAGTAATATGTTTATATGAAATATAAGGCATTTTGATTTTTTTATAAATAAAAATATGTATAAATAAAATAAGCATAAAAATGTAATAAATAAATTATTCAATATTTACCAGTTTGTTGTAAGTTGATTATTATCCAATCTGTGTCGATCATATATATTTCAACCGGTTCATTTTTAAGCCATATGATATCTTGAAAAGAAGTTTTAGTAAAATTGAGCTCTCTCTTCGTAGTGTATGTGATAGGTATCCAGAAATTCGGTAAACCCGATTGGCTAAATATAAAACTTATAGGTTTTGCTATAGATACTAATACACCATTTCTTTTATCATTTCGTTTTACAGTAAGCACAGGGTAATGCCATAGCCTCACCCAACCATTCATTATATCTTTTATATCAAGATCGAATTTGTTGTATTTCAAACGTATGACAAGAGTTAAAATATTCCAGAAGTGATCGGGCGTTATCGGGATGTTTCCACTAAAATTGCAAAAATCAACATATTATTATTAATAATAATAATAAATAATTATATTATTATATTGTTACTTACTACGTACGTAGATCGATACCATTTCGGAATGCCATATCACTAATTATATGCTGCAGCATGCGCAAGATACAGACACCTACGATTTTTACATTATATTACATGATTAAATATTCATAATAAATTCATAAAAACGTTTACAAATTCATAAACTTAGCTGATTATATTGTAAATAGAACAATTAAATTTTAATAATATTTTTTCTCATTATAATGTAACGCAATTAACATATTATTAATTTTTAAAAATTTTTAAACAATTATATTATTTCTATACATTTTTTCATAATATTCAAGAATTTATAAACAATTGATTAATTGCTTATCCAGGCTTACCTCTGTAATAAGGTAAAGAGAAATGTGATTTAATGTCAAAAGGACTTTTGCTTTCATAAGAAAGTACATTGAAAGAGATAGAATCTTCATAATAATTATTATAGTGAAGATCATCTAAATGAAAAGACTCATATTGAATTTGTTCTATGAACAGGTACTTAATTTGATTATCTTCGAAAATCTAAAGTCGAAAAAATTCATGTATCAAATAAACATTTAATCAAAGACTTACATATTAGTAATAATACCATTGACTTTTAGTTTAAATACTAAAACACTTTTAATACAAAAATTTTGCTACATTTTATTATTATTATATATATATATATATATTTAAAAATGTAGAAAATTATTTCTAAAACAATATGCAATGTAACTATTAACAATTAAATGTTATTTAAATTATATTAAAAGCAGATAAAATTTTTTGCAAATTTTGTATATTCCATCTTAAAATCTTTTTCAATTTAAAATTCCATTTTTTTAAATAAGTTAATTCTTTTTTAAAATATTATAATAGTGTAAAAATTAAATTACTTAATAATTTTTTTAATAAAAAAATTTATTAATCTTAGCTTTTTGATTATAATAAATAAAAAAAAATTTATTCTTGCTTGTACATTATGCTTGCTAGTGTATTAAACGTTTTATTAATTGTTATGTGAAATTACCTTAGTTTCATTGATTGCATCCATTGCAAAGACTGTAGCAAGACTGTCAGTAAACCAAGCATGAGACCACGAGGATGGTATAATCGTATTATTGAACCATTGTTTTAATGTTAAACGTGCTATCAAATCCGCCACTTTTATTTTATGAGCAATCGAATCTAATTTTTCATCACAGACAACAGCTGTTTCTCTAAATTGTTAATTAATAATGCGATCATGATTTAATAAACTTTAATAAAATTTCATGAATTTTAATAACAAAATGAGACTTTTCTTAAATAATTTAATAAAAGATAAACTGATTCATAAACTAACATATAAAAATGCATCTTTAATTTTTAAAATTATGTATGCTAAAATAATTTTGTCTTGTATACTAAAAAAATTTATATAAATTTTTTTTTATAATCTTTATAATCTAATTTCTTTTTTAATTTATACAATGTTATTACCTATAAAAAATGAGTTCCCAATTTGATAAGCCGTCGTCTGGAAAATTTGGGATTAGAACATAGTTCACCTTGATTAATAATTTCCTTTGAAGAATAAAATAGTCTGTAATTTTTGTAATAACGTTCCATGCAAATGTTACATCATTTTTTACGTCATCTCTGCAGTACATGCTAATGATATTATTACTAAAATGACGAGGAAAATTGATCATTGCAAACGCCATAAGATGAGTGGGTAGTTTCAAAGGAGAGTTGAAATATGTCCAGCGTAATTTTTCATTAGTCGCATTGTATTGAATTTGTGATAAAAAATTGTTTGATAAAATTGTATATTTGGAATGATGCAATAGCAAGATCTCGAAGGTAGTTGTAAAATGTGGCTCATCCCAACATGGAAATATTCGTCGAGCTTCAATCGGCTGAAAATGTGTTGCGAGCAACCACCTATCATTTTTTAACGACATGTTAGATAACAATAAATTGTAAAAAATTGTAAAAAATTTGTAGTTTTTTATTTGTTCTACGTAGAAGTACTTCTTCAAGGTTTTAAGATTATGTTAAATTTTTGGAAGGACATCTACTTGAAACAAATCATACTGACAATAATGTCGATTTATTTTAGTGTTACTTAGTTTTCGTAGTATTCGTATATATTCTATTTACGAAGAAAAATTTTATGCAATTAATTTTTATAATGTAAAGGAGGATGTTAAAAATAGGTCGATTTTGGCCCATGGTGTGGAACTAAAACTACAAATGATTTCTTATAGATTTTATACCGTAGAATCACGTGGTAAAGTCCGTTTTTCTCTAGACAGCGGGAAAAGTACGGAAAAATTGAAAAAAAGACGAAATATTTAAACACAATACGGCTACCAATGTTCAGTTTTTCATCCATTTTTGAAAATGATTTGTCATCCGATTCAGATGATAATGAAGTTACTGAGTCTGACTGAATGTCTACATGTGATATTATTACTTTTAATCGGCTCTTTTCAGAGCCAAATGATGTGCAAAAACCGCTCAGGCAACCTCCCCGTGATGCACATTGAGTAACGCTAATGCCGACGGTGTCATTAGCGAGAAACATTTTATTAAAATACCATGAAACATTTGATTAAAAAATCAAATATCAGAACACACATACACACACACACCCACAAGAAAAAAGCTTGGACACACTTGTGTTCACTCAAGTACATCCATAAGTACATGTGTTTTTATACGGGAAATTGTATTTTTCGTGATCTTTTTATAAATTTTTCCGTACTTTCCCCGCTGTCTAGAGGAAATCGGACTTTACCACGTGATTCTACGGTGTAAAATCTATAAGAAATCATTTGTAGTTTTGGTTCCACACCATGGGCCAAAATCGACCTATTTTTAACATCCTCCTTTATATAATGTAATCTAAAGTTTACAATATACTACAAAAATAAAAATAGATATAATTTATAAAGAATAATAATAAATGCTTTACCAGATAGACATTAAATGAAAGCATATAATGATATAATTGTACCAGCAAACAATAATAATTATTTTTAATTTAAATTAAATGCTACTATTATGTTGTCATATTGATGAACTTTATTTGGTGACATATATTATGCATAATTGTGACATTTATTGCGCATAACTGCAACATTTAATTGTGATTATAACATGTCGACAAAATTAATATCCAGTGCGAACGTATCTTTGAATAAATATGCTACAATTTTTATATGGCAATTATATATCAAAGATGCGTCTAAATGTCTATCTGTTTCGTATGATTTTAATATTTACTCACTCTTTTTCTCCTTGTTTGTTTATGTAAGAAGTTGTAAAGAATCCTTCATTATCACTTACAGTAGTTTCATATTTTATATTTAAAGTGTAATAACCCTGTGATACTTTGTCTTGTAAGTATAAAACATAAATGTTTGTATGATAATTATATATGAATGAGCTGCAATTATACTTATATTCTTTTGTTATATTATTCTCTTTATATGTATGAATCAATTGCATTGTTGTTACGTGTATTTTATATTTTAGCCAATGCAAACCGATATATTGTGTTGTACGGTTAATGTGAATGGAAGCATTGAAATCTCCAATAAAAGAAACAACATTTAAATCCTTTTCCACAAAACGTATCATTAGCTTATAGTGCATTGGTGTTATATAATCTGGTAAAAGATAATTTTCGGAAATATTTATGCCAAGTTGTCCATCTTTACCGGTAGAAAGTATTATCATGGCAATAAATAAACCACACTTTAATAAAAATTTTGCCATATCAATTTTTGTTTGAAATATCTGTAGGAATATAGATCTATTTAGAAAAAAACTTGATCCTTTTTTATTAGATATTGATATGCATTATATATTATTCAGTTGTTCTAAATTAAATTATAATAACATTTACATATAGCTTTTTGTCGAGATTTATGTTATTTTGATGTAATGATAAATTTATTAAATTTTTTATAATTATATTATTAGAGACAGAACTCTCTTAATATAAAAATAATATTAACTAACAGAATATGTTATCAGAATATATCACAGATAGAATATATTACACATACACATAATACAATTACATGCTCATGTCTAATTTATAATGTAAATTGATCAAAAATAAAATCATACGCACAATTAGTGATGCTAAATGGTATCAAAGTAACGAGGCTCTACATACGGACTTAAACCTCCAAACAATTGCGGAAATTATTAAGGAACTTGCAATATCACATGAAGAAAGATTACACCAGATACTAATGTAGAGGCTATACGATTACTAGACATGGAACAGGACCTGAGACGGCTCAAGCGAAAGAGACCACAAGACCTGACAATGTAGACAGTACAATGTCAATTAATAGATATATATTAATTGAGGCTTAAATAATGATTTAAGCTTCAACACATGTCTCTGATAGCATATGTTAGTCGTATTACTCATTTGAACAGTAGTTTAAGATTGTAATAACCACTAGCGGATCCTGATGTCGATAATAGGGGGGGTTTTGACCTGCTTTAATGCATTTTTTACCAAAATTCTTGAAACGGATCCAGCAAAATTGATTTTTTTTAACTTGGAAGGGAAGGAGGGTTAACCCCTCCCTCTCCCCCCCCAGGATCTGCCAGTGGTAATAACCATACATTTTTATCTGAAAATGTCTTTAAAAAAAAATAAAATAAAATAAAATAATGTAAATTGTATGTAATAACTTTAAATACAACTAAGCTTCTTGTTTAATTCTAAATTTCTAAAATAAAAATGCATAGTTGTATATAAAAAAAGAGATACTCACTCTCCAATAATAATTTAAAAGATCTTTTAGTCTTTTCTTTTTATATTAAAAGAAATAAAATTGTGATCTATATATTTCTTTCAAGAAAACTGTATTTTACTATATCAAAGAGACACATGCATGTCTATTCTTTTATTGTAGATATTAAAATTATTACCTATTAGATACAATTATTTGTACAATATAGCTTCTTAGTACGGTTAACGCTATTGCCACAAATTATCAATGTTGAAAATATATGTAATTTACTACTTCGAGATGTCACCGATAACTAATAACGATATGAGTGACGAATACAGTTGCCATTTCAAGCTCCGAGCATACGGATACATCGAAAAACCACGGACGTGTGTTGTGCGGAACGCTTGGCACAGCAAAGTTCTACGTTCTATGAATTTGTTTTTCTCGTAACTCACTACACTGACATGTGGTCTGTGTATATGTGTCGGATGGTTTGTATACAAACTATGCTCACGTTTCTTCCCTCGATCGAAATTCCATCTAAGGCTGCAATATAATTATTTGTAATATGTTATAAATCATCATTATTTTGTATTTTATACAATGACTGAAATAATGAGTATTTATTTTTAAAATACATATAATTTATTTTTAAAATAAAAAATAAAAATAACTATATATTCAATATGTGTGCATATGTATGTATTGATTAATTAATTAATTTATTTATTTATCACATAAGAATAAAATTTTATTCATTTTTATGCCTTAGAATTTTATTTTATAACATTTAGTAGGCCCAAAGTTTTAGAAACTCTAGGTCTAGAATGTTAAAATGTATTTTATTAAATTTTAGACACTGGAAATTTATACTACACATAGTTCAGATTTGTATTTCAAACAACCGGAAGTAGTAAGTCTTATTCGAGACGATATCTCGCATAATTGCATCGCTCAGTAGCGACACCAAACACTCTACTTCCTTTCCACAACGTGCTGCTATCGAGTTATATCGAGTCAAAATGCAGAAAGTAAGTGCAGCATTATTTCTATCGAGATTATATAGATTTTAACACAAAGAACATCAACCGGATCTATAACGTGTGATTTTCTTTCAGAAACAAAAGGAGCCGATCCAGTCCGTGCAAGTTTTCGGACGTAAGGTGAGCTGATATGTGATTGAATGAGGTTATACGTACATATTTTCTCATGCTTATATGATGTATCTAACGTCTAATGTGTCTAATGTTCGTGCATTGCAGAAAAGCGCGACCGCGGTAGCTTATTGTAAACGCGGACGTGGAAATCTGCGCGTCAATGGCCGACCTCTGGAGTTAGTAGAGCCTCGAGTGCTTCAGTACAAACTGCAGGAACCTATCCTGCTGTTGGGCAAAGTAAGTGATACAAATAGGAATAAATAGATTTCCAACTGTAATAGCTATAATAGCTGCGAGGATCAATGTAGATGCAACTTCTTGAATTCTGAATTTGTCACTTATTTATAATCGTAATTTATTCTGTGATGTTCGTTTATTCCGAATATGAGAACTGATGAATAGAAATGAATTCTGAGATTACAAGCACAAACAAGATGGATTTTTGCCAAACAAAGAGGTCTTGAATCTATTTTTGTATTTTAGGAGAAGTTCTCTGGAGTTGATATAAGAGTGAGAGTGAATGGTGGTGGTCATGTTGCACAGATCTATGCCATACGTCAGGCTATTTCCAAGGCTCTCGTTGCGTACTATCAGAAATGTAAGTGTGATGTAAAGTATAATGAGCTTGATTGTAGAGTTGCGCAGTTGTTGAATATATTATGCTATAATGATATCATTATGTTTTAGATGTCGATGAGGCCAGTAAAAAAGAAGTAAAAGACATTCTTATTCAATATGATCGCACTCTCCTTGTTGCTGATCCAAGGAGATGCGAACCGAAAAAGTTTGGTGGTCCAGGAGCCAGGGCACGGTATCAAAAATCTTACCGTTGAGGTCCACAAATTTTGTACTACAATTTATTTATATTATTAAATAAAAATTGAGTAAAAGTACAAATATCTTATATCTTATAGTATATGCTCACTTTTTTCAAACCTTTCTTTTATATTTTATATCTGTCTTGTATAGGATTTCTTTTAATAAACAAATTAGTTTTCAGTCTTTTCCCTTCAACATTTGTATTAATTAAATATATTTGTAAATATATTAATAAATATAGTAAATATATATATAAATATATAGTAATATATATGTAAATATAAATATAAATATATTAAATATATAATTAAATATATTTGTGAATACTTTTCTTAATTAGGATAACTACTATTAACACTTCCTATTTTTTTGTTTTAAAGTTTATAATAATTATTTTGTTCTAATTACACTTTTTATTAAACTTTCTATCCTATAACAAGTGTATACTCAATTTAAAGAGAATAAAAGATATAAAATTTAACAGATAAGATTTGATAAGACTTAGATAAGAGACTATTTTGTAAAAGGTTTTAATAAATGTCCATATGATAAAATTGGAATTCTAATCCACATTGTACATATATTGTACAAATTATCACTCAACTTGAATATACTTGAACACATGTAAGGTCATATGGTCATATGTAGTCATATGCAAGGTAGCAAACAAACTGTCAAATTGTCATAGATCATTGGTTTTTAGTTCATTTCTTGAAGGAAAAATAAAATCTGTTTAAAAATGAAGACCCGATTTAACACTTATGATCTTGTATGCTCAGTAACTGAACTACAAAAGTAAGTAAAAGATAAAAGCTTTATTCAAAAATTGATAGAATAGTAAGGTTATAACCAACACATTTTAACTTCTGAAAATATATAATTTATCCTATTTCAATTGTATTTCAATCAATATTTAGATCATTTGTAACTGCTGTTAATTGTTATTGCTAAAATAAATGTTGATATAAGTATATATGTCAATATTAATATAATAGGTTAATATGAATTTTTCGATTTAGTTTGCATATAAATTATATACACAAGCTATTTTTCACTTATATAAAAACTTTTAGGCTTATTGGCATGCGTGTCAATCAGATATATGATATAGATCACCGAACATATCTTATACGCTTTCAACGTAGTGAAGAAAAATGTGTTTTGTTACTTGAGTCTGGTAATAGAATTCACATAACAAATTTTGAATGGCCAAAAAATGTGGCTCCTTCAGGTTTCTCCATGAAGGTATTTTCAAATATCTTTAAATTATAATGTAGCACAAGTGGTAAATACATGTCTTTTAATCAATACAATTTTACAGATGCGGAAACATCTTAAGAATAAAAGATTAGAGAGTCTCACTCAAATTGGCATGGATCGAATGATAGATATGCAATTTGGAAGTGGTGAGGCTGCGTATCATATAATCTTAGAAGTTTATGATCGTGGTAATATAATCCTTACTGATTATGAAATGACAATTTTATATGTTTTAAGACCTCATACAGAAGGAGATAAAATCAGGTAAATATAAAATATATACATGTGATCACACATACTGTAAGATACTGATAAAATTGCATTTTGTTTAGATTTGCAGTGAAAGAGAAATATCCATCGGACAGAGCTCATTCTGCAACAATGCCACCCATAGATGAAATTCATGAGCATATTCAGAAAGCTAAGGAAGGAGAGAGTCTTAAAAAAGTGTTAAATCCGCTGTTAGAATTTGGTTCAGCTGTGATTGATCATGTTTTACTGAAAGCTGGATTTAATTTTGGCTGCAAAATTGATAAAGATTTTAACATCGCTGAAGATATGCCAAAATTGATGTTAGCACTTGAGGATGCGAATAATATCATGGACCATGCAAAGAAAAATGTTTCAAAAGGCTACATTATCCAGAAAAAGGAAGTAAAACCGACTGAAAACGGGGGAGAAGATTTTATATATGCTAACATTGAATTCCATCCTCTTTTATTTGAGCAATATAAGAATCAACCATACAAAGAATTTGATTCTTTTGATGCTGCAGTGGACGAATATTTTTCCACAATGGAAGGACAGAAGCTCGATTTAAAGGTTTTACAACAAGAAAGAGAAGCTTTGCAAAAATTAGAGAGAGTAAAGAAAGATCATGATCAGAGATTGATTACATTGGAGAAAACACAAGAAGTAGATAAACAGAAAGCAGAATTGATTTCAAGGAATCAGACTTTAGTAGATAACGCTATACTAGCTATACAAAGTGCTCTGGCAAATCAGATGTCTTGGCCTGACATTCAAGTTTTATTGAAAGAAGCTCAAGCCAGAGGCGACCCTGTTGCTTCCGCTGTAAAACAATTAAAATTAGAAACAAATCATGTTGCTTTACTATTACATGATCCTTATGAAGATAGCGACGAGGAATCTGAACTTAAACCTATGATCATTGACATAGATTTAGCCCATACGGCTTTCGGCAATGCCAAGAAGTATTATAGTCAAAAAAAGTCAGCAGCTAAGAAGCAACAAAAGACAATAGAGTCTCAGGGCAAGGCTTTGAAGTCGGCAGAAAAGAAGACGAAGCAAACGTTGAAAGAGGTGCAAACCATACACACTATTAATAAATTAAGGAAAATGTATTGGTTTGAAAAATTCTATTGGTTTATTACATCCGAAAATTATTTAGGTAAGTGTCGTGTTTTATTTCGCATAAATACTGTCGACACATTATTAATTCTGACATTTGTATAGTAATTGGAGGAAGAGATCAGCAACAAAACGAGTTGATAGTGAAGAGATATCTGAAGGCGGGAGATTTATATGTTCACGCAGATTTAGGTGGTGCTAGCTCTGTCGTGATAAAAAATCCCAGTGGCAATTCTGTACCACCAAAATCGTTAGCGGAGGCAGGTACAATGGCTGTTGCATACAGGTATAGCTATAGATCTTTACTTTTACGATAGCAACATCCGTATTTATTCAGTTGCCTATGTTGTTCAAAGTATCGTAATATTATATAATAATTATAATCATGATTAATATCTCGTTCATAGTATAGCTTGGGATTCCAAAGTAATAGCTAGTGCATGGTGGGTGCATCATGATCAAGTATCGAAGAGCGCACCTACCGGAGAATATCTCACTACTGGATCCTTCATGATACGTGGAAAGAAAAATTACCTGACTCAGAGTCAATTAATCATGGGATTGGGAATCATGTTTCGACTGGAGGACAGTTCAATTGAACGGCATAAAAATGAAAGACGAGTAAAAACTGTGGACGAGGAAAGTGAAAAAGCCGATTCTATAATTGAGGATGATAAGGAAATAGAATTAGAAGGAGACTCGGATGAAGGTAAATTTCGGATGCGATAAATAGTTCAACATTCAATGAAATTGTTGATATATTTTGCAATAATTCATGATTTTTTTATATTAGATGAAAATCTAGAAAACAGAGATACATTAAATCCAATTCAAGAAGAGGATCATTTGACAGAGGATCAGGAGAAATCAGAATATATAGATAATACTAATAAAGATGCACATGAAGAAGATGATGAAAATGATACAAACTGCCAATTTCCCGATACACAAATTAGAATTGATCTTTCGGGCCCGAAGTAAGTTAATGTATGAAATTTTCAATTTTTTATAACTGAAGTCAAATCATGTGATACATATTTTTATATGAAATAGGGTAAAGCTACACATAGATAATAATCAGCCCTTAATGCAAACGCAAAAGAGTACGGAGGAAAGTGTAGTTTATTTAGGAGATGACAAGCCTATTGTGATAAATACAGCTAAAGAGAAGTCTGAAAAAGTAAAACAGAAAGCACATTCGAAAGAATCAAAAGAAAAGACAGAAAAGAGTGATAAGAATGAAGTGGATAACAAAAAAGGAGAGCAACCTGCGTTAAAACGGGGACAAAAGGGAAAGCTAAAGAAAATGAAAGAAAAATACAAGGATCAAGACGAGGAAGATAGAAGACTTTCCATGCTCGTCTTACAGGTTACACTTTTCCTTTCTCTTCATTTCACATTTATTGTGAATTTATTTATGAAATCTAACGTTTTATTTTTTTTAATTATCCAGTCGGCAGGTGCAGCCAAAGAAGATAAAAGAAAAAACCGAGCAAAAGATCCGTCAGGTCCAAAACAAGGGAAGAAAAAGGCAAATCCAAAACCAAATGTTACATCGCAACCTGTACATGTAATTGATAATGTTGACGATGAAGATACGGGCCCAACTCCAGAAGTCGATATGCTCGATCAGTTAACAGGAAAGCCTTTCTCAGAAGACGAATTGTTATTCGCTGTACCTGTGGTGGCACCTTACAATACCTTACAAAATTATAAGTAAGTTACTACAAATTTTGTTTGATAATTTCTCACTTATAACAAATCTTATTGTTCATTTTAGATTTAAAGTGAAACTGACACCCGGCATTGGAAAGAGAGGTAAAGCTGCTAAGACAGCTGTAGCCGTATTTCTCAGAGATAAAGAAATTTCTTTACGTGAAAAGGATTTGTTAAAGGCTATTAAAGAAGAAACAATTGCCCGAAATATACCTGGAAAAGTAAAAATAAGTGCTCCTCAGATTCAAAAACTAAAGAAATGATTGCCTATGAGTTTTTAAGAACCATGTGAAAATGGTTTGTTATTTGTACAAATGTTCTTTTATATATGTAACAAACTAGTAAGTCAGAGATAAAAACAAAACTTGAAATTACATTTTTTTTTATATTCTCTATATATATATATATTATATAGGATTATTATATTATTGACTCGAAATATCAGACTTGATAATGAATATTATTTATCAATTGATGAAATATTGATTTTACTTCTTTATATACAGATTGTAAATTAGGTGGTTCCATTCTCAGCATGTATAAAAATAAACACTATTCAAAAATGCGTTTAATACTTTATTGTACAAAAATAGTAGCAAAATTCTTACAATTTCCTCATAATAGATTCAACCCGAGTATTTATTTTTGAAAACCATATTTATAACAATTTGAACAAAACACATAGAATGATTAATATTATTATCATTGCACTAGAGAATATATAAAAGCATATAATTAATTATATGCCTTCATGTTCTCTGAGAAAAATTATTAGACGCGACTGTCATTCAGAAAGAGAAAGAAAAGACTTTTAAAGATACAGTTTTCATAGATTAGTTCAAAGTTATATAGTTCGAAGGTATATAATTAATTATATGGTTTTATATGTTCTTTAGTGCATTTTTCATAATTAATTCCACAGCCTGTGAATAAATTCATGATTATTAGCCAGCATGAAATTTAATACCACCATATGAAAATTTAATGACTATAACAGGCAATAATTAATTATATAATTAATTATATGCCTTTATGTTCTCTATTGCATTTGATAATAATGTTAATCATTCTATATTTGGTTCAAATTTTTATAAATATGGTTTTCAAAAATGAATTAAATATAATTTAATTAAATATAAGGTACATGTTACAGATATTTTTTACAGCGAAGAACTTACAATATTGTATTTTATTAAATGATAGTGTATTCTATGATAATGCATTTTATATTTCGTAATATTATATGATAATGTATTTGTTATTATCATTTCATCCAATTAAAAATTACATATCAAACATATCTTCATCTGATTCAATTTCAATATCAGTTTTCAATATTCGTTTATTGGATTGCAATCTATGTGTGGTAGTTTTCTGTTTTGCAGAAGGACTTTTTCTGATTTTGTTCTTAGTAGTAGGTCTTGACTTTGTCCCTTTCAATAGAATCTGAAAATATATAAAAAATATATTAAATATTTATATTTAAATTTATTCAATTCTTATTTAAATTAAAAGGAAATAAGTTATTCTTTACCAATAAACTTTATTACCTCAGGTTCAGAAATGGTTTCTGAATCATCCAATGATTGATGATTTGCCTTGATTTTTTGCCTTTTACTCGTAGTTCGCTTTCTCTGTTGTGTTTTATTTGAACGTTGTACTAATGGCTGTAACAATAAAAATTCATTTTTGTGACAGAAATAAACTTCAGACGATATTAGTTATACTTAAATTCAAAGAGTCAAATTTAAAAGTTGCAAAGATATGTATATATTCCTTTTTCTAACTTACCATGTTAGAATCACTTTGGGAATCATCCTCGAAACTGACTTGAGTTTTTTTTGCCGTATTAT